ATCCCATCCCATCCCATGGATCCCATCCCATCCCATCCCATCCCATCCCATCCCATCCCATCCCATCCATCCCATCCCATCCCATCCCATGGATCCCATCCCATCCCATCCCATCCCATCCCATCCCATCCCATCCCTGCTGTGCAAATCCCGCTGCTGCCGTCAGCCGCCTTGGGCCCATGGTGCCGAGAGCTCAGAGCAGAGCGCGGCTGCTGGCCCTGGGATGGATCAGGGATGGAACAGGGATGGAACAGAGATGGATGAGGGATGGATGAGGGATGGAACAGGGATGGATCAAGGATGGAACAGGGATGGATCAGGGATGGAACAGGGATGGATCAGGGATGGATCAGGGATGGATCAGGGATGGAACAGGGATGGAACAGGGATGGAACAGGGATGGAACAGGGATGGATCAGGGATGGAACAGAGATGGAACAGGGATGGATCAGGGATGGAACAGGGATGGAACAGGGATGGATCAGGGATGGATCAGGGATGGATCAGGGATAGATCAGGGATGGCCCTGGGATGGCTCCAGGATGGCTCTGGGATGGCTCCGGGATGGCTCCAGGATGGCTCTGGGGACAGGAGAGGAGCTGCTGGCGTGGGCACAGCCCCTGAGCAGGGACAGGATGGACTCTGGCACCTGCCCAGGGAGCTCCTCCCCAGGGAGCAGCACTGAACCCTTCCTGCTCCCCAGCCTTTCCCTGGGACACAGCTGGGGGATTTGCCTTGGCAGACAGCAGCAGTTTGGGAGGGATTAGGGATCTCTCTACGTAGGAGCAGGTGCAATAGGATTACGTGGGACTCTTCATTCAGGCACGGAGTGCTGGCAGTGCCATAAATAGCACCGGGACCTTAAGCTGGTGCTTCCCCTCCAAGGCAGGGCTCAGGCAGGCAGGTGCACTCACCCGGGCAGGGAGGAGGTTCTGCAGAGCTCCAGGTGCCCCAGAAGATGAGCAGGACCCGTTGGGCAGCCGGACCCATGGCAGGAGCAGAGCTCAGCACGCCCTGGCTGGACCTGCCCATCACTGAGGTGACTCCAGGGCTCCAGAGCCCAGCCAGGCTTGCTCATCTTGAAGGCATCTGCATGACTTGGCAATCAGATTGCCAGGGCAGCTCCAGCCTCCCCTCCACACCCCGAATTCATGACTTTAGTGCTCCTGCTGGGTGGGTGCAGAGGCATCAGCACGGTCTGCGTGTACTTGTCTCTTCCAACGTGAAAATGGCCAGGAGCAAGCAGCACACACGTGTGAAAACAGCAGCTTCTGAACGATCTAAGTGCAGAGCAGGGCTGCACAAACCTCACTGAAATGGCTGTGGTGGTGTTAAATCTGCTTTTCAGGAGCCAAAAACCCATCTTTATATGCCCTGGGGAAAAATGGACTGAGGTTTCCTTGGGGCAGCAACTGCTGAAACAACACCTGTGTGCTGAGGTCCAGCCTTTCAGGCATTTGGCATGAAATGAGTGACAAAAAGAGGTGGTGAACATGCAGGGATGTGGTGATTCCCCTGACAGGCCTTAAGGAGATCTCTAAACAATTAGCAGGCATTCCCCTTCCAGTAGATTTAGGATCTAGTGAACAGAAATAGCACCAAGTACGTCACGGAAAGTAGGAAACCTCTTTACAAGGTTAAAAATAAGCAAACAGCAAAGCACTTCTTTAAGACAGGCAGGAGTGGAGTGGCTAATTGCTGAGGGAAGAGCCAGTTTCCATTTGCACAGAGGTGTCGTCAATGAAATCAAGATAACTGAGTCATGCTTAGGTAACAGCAGCAGAAATATCTCTGCAGTCAAGCACAGCCCTGGGTCACCCGTGTGTGGCTTGGGGCTCGTGTCCTTCCCCCTCCTCAGCAGAGGGTTCTTGCAAATGCTCAGGCCAAACGAGCTCTTTCCATGGTCCTTGTGCCCAGCCTGGCACATTTCTGGGGGGAAAATCCACTTGGAATTGGGCTGGGAGCAATTCCCAGAGCAGGAGGAGGCGCAGGGAGGGGTGGGGTCCCTGCAGGGGGACACAGAGCTGCTGAGCTGGTGCTCCAAAGGTGCTCCAAAGGTGCTCCAAAGGACAGTGGCAGGTTCTGCCAGCACTGCTACATCCTCTCAGATTGTGCTGAACCATTTTCAAGGCAGGTTTGCCATGGCTGTGGCTGGTGACAGCTTTGCCAGGAGCGTGTGCTGCTGGCATTTATCACTGCTGGAACTGGGAGTCAAGAGAGAATCGAGTCCTTTGTGTCTCATCGTTCCCATTCCCTCAATGTCTGTTTAAAGTCACTTCCATATTCCCAGACATCGTTTGAGTTTAAATTCCCTTTCGCTTTAAGCAGCACCACCTCAGATTTTTGGCTAAGGATGTGTAAACCCCTGGCTCCTCAGCACCTGCAGTGCCCTGGCTGCCCTTGCAGGAGCTTCCCTGGCTGTCCTGGGGTGGGATGGTGGCAATCACCACGTGTTTTTCTGGATCCTCTGCTCCACAGGTGGCTAAAGCACCAGAAGCCCCTGGCAAAGACCACACAAGAACCAAGGGAATGGAGAAGGCCAAAGCGATGCCAGAGATGACCAACCCACCTCCCAGGTCGAGGAACCGGCCGCCTCCAGCCCTTCCTCTGGGCTCTCGCTTCGTCCCGGTCATTGTCCACGCCGGGGACCGTCCCCTCAGCTCCCTGGACTTCGTGTTCTACCAGCCCCAGTGGCCCAACTCGCTGGCCCCGTTCTGCACCTCGCAGAAACCCTTCTGTGGCTTCCGCTTCCAGGAGAGCGCCAGCCACGGCCGGCGGCGCCTCGGCCTGGAGAGCACGGACCCCGTGAAGTGGAGATCCTTCCACGGCCCCAAACCGTAGCTGAGAGCAGCCCAGCCCAGGCAATAAAGCCCTGAAGCGGCAGCTGCGTGTCCCAGCAGAGCGGGCAGCAGGCTGGGGATGGGTGGGGAGGCTCTGCCACTGCTCCCCAGCAAAATCTGCAGAGTGGATTTTGCTCTGCAAACCCTGCCCCACTCCTCCTGTGGTTTGCACCCCTGCCCTGGGTGTCACAGCACAGGGCACGGAGCGAGGGCCACCAGGGCCAGCTCACCTGGCTCAGCACAGCCTGGGCTGAGCTCACTGAAACTTCACCTTGCACACCAGGGGCCCGGACCGAGCACAGAATTAGCACATCCAATTAGTGCTCCTCAGCTTAATTCCTTTTCCCTAAGTGTTTTACGATTGTGTAATGCTGCTTTTTTTAGCAGAATTATTCCAAATTTACTGTGGTGCAGAAGCAGCACTAGGCTCTATGACTTGTTAGATAACTGAGGTTGTTAGATGTAAAATGTGTGTTATGGATAAAATGTGTGTTATGGATAAATTGTGTGTTGTGGATAAATTGTGTGTTATGGATAAAATATGTGTGTTATGGATAAATTGTGTGTTATGGATAAAATGTGTGTTATGGATAAATTGTGTGGCATGGATAAATTGTGTGGTATGGATAAATTGTGTGGTATGGATAAACTCTGTGGGACAGACTCACATCCATTCACTCAGAGGCTCTGGCCCATGATGCTTTCTGAGGATAATTCCTGAGTACTTCTCAGAATGCTGTGTGTCAAAGTGAGAACAGCATTGGATTTGGTTGTATTTATGTGGAGAATCTTTAAAGCTGTGTCTAACTGCCCAGGTGTGAGCTGGGTTTGTAACTCTGCAGCCAGGACACACTGCTGGGCTGAGCAGAGTGGGACAATTTTGAGGAAAAACCTCTCAATTGGCAGGACCAGGGCTGGACATGGAACCCCTGGAGCTGGGGGACAGGGCCCTTCCCTTTCCTCCTGTCTGCAATTAAAGCACTTAAACCTTTCCCATTCAATTATGTTTCTATATTTGTCTCCTCACACCAAATTTACCCTCCTGGTGCATCTCCAGTGGAACTTCGCCCTCCCTGAATTCCAGGCCCCAGAATTCCGGAATTCTCTGAAATCCTGTCAGAGTGAAGGGAAGGGAAAGCAAAAAGCAGTAACAGCACAGAGGACTCAGAGCGGTTTTCCCTCATTCTTCTTACTCTGCTTCTGCTGCAAAAGTTGTTGCTTATGTGACACCACCCCCCCCAAAAACGATAAATGAAGTGGATTAAGAGATTAGCTCATCACAGAGAAAATTCCACCCTCCTAATCTCCTGCTGGGCCTGTAATCTGCAAGACTTTCCCATTTTACCTCTTTTCTATTTTAACTCTGAACTCTTAATGCCTGGCAGGAGCCCACCGCCCCCCAACCTTATTGGCTGGGGAGGGATTTGCTGGCTACTTAAATATCACCTTCCCCTCCAAAGAGGGATTTGTGCTTTTGGGTTTCCCCAGGAGGACGAGTCTCCTGTGTCCATCGCCGCTGGAATCCGGGCAGCACCAGGCACTTCAGGTGTTCCTGATGCTCTGACCCCTGCAGTGCTGGGGACATCTGGGCTTTGAAGGCAAAGAAGCAGAATTGTGAATTTTTTTCCCTCCTAAATTTCACAAACGCTCCGTTTTTGGCTGCAAAGGGAGCAGAGCTTGGTGTGGAGATGGGGAACATGGACGGGAAAACCGTGGAGGAGCTGAGCACCACCGAGTGCCACCAGTGGTACAAGAAGTTCATGACGGAGTGTCCTTCTGGCCAGCTCACCCTCTACGAGTTCAAACAGTTTTTTGGCTTGAAAAACCTGAGTCCGGCAGCGAACAAATACGTTGAGCAAATGTTTGAGACGTTTGACTTTAATAAGGTAAATATTGTCCTTGCCACTCGGCCGGGCAGGGATCGGCTGTGCCCTGGGTTCCCCCGGGCTGGGGCTGGGTGGGTGTGAGACAAACTGCTCTGAGCCTGATTTACTGTGGCCTCATAAACTGGAGAATCAGCTCTGGAACGTGAAAAACGCCAGGAAAACTCTTTAGCCAGTGCCTGCTCCTCTCCCAGAACTGATGTTTTCCTTTTAAAACAGTGGGGTTTTATCTGGCAGTCTTTGATCCCTTTAAAATGGAGTGTCCTTTAATCCTTGGCCACTGGATGTTGTGTCAGTGAGGACAAGGGCTGCACTCATGCAGGGATGGGCTGTTTGCATTGTTTGGAACTGTAAATGCAGTAAATGAAAATGAAAATGTAAAATGCACTGGGGCCGATTTTATTCCATGGATGGAGAGGCTTTGAGCCCAGAGCAGGCAGTCCTGGAGCAGGGACTGGGGAATGCAGCCCCAGAACAGATATTTGGGAATGCTGCTCCCCCAGCTCAGGAGCTGTGCCAGGGAAGCAGATGGATGCTGCGTCTCTAACAGGAAACTGCATCCTCCTCTACTTGCAAATGACCCGAAATTGCACCTCCTTGGAGATGAGGAATTTATTTAGTGGCGACCCAAAGGGTTTAGTGGCATTAATCCCATTGACAAAAATGCAAATCAGGCCCTAAATCCTTCAGGTGTTTGGTTTGTTCCTTGACCTTCCCCTTGCTCACTGCCCTGTCTGAGTGCATGCCTGCAGAGGGAATTGATGCACAGGAAATCCTGCTGGGAATGGGTTTAGTGCTATTTGTAGCTAATCTGGCTCCTGCAGCAGTGGATAAAGCAGATGATCTCCCCTGGAACCTTTGCTCATTGACAAAACCCTGCCCTGGTTTGTGGTGGGAGCCATGGAATCATTGAGGTTGGAAAGGGCTCCTGAGATCATGGGGAGCTGCTAGCCCAGCTCTGCCGGGGTCACCACGGAGCTGTGTCCCCTGTGCCACATCCACTCGGCTTCTCAGCCCTTCCAGGCCACTTCAGAGCATGGGAAAGCTCTGTGGTGGGCAGGAGGCATTTTAACAACCTCCTGGAAGCTGTGAGCATCCTGGGCAGTGCCTGGGGGAGGTTTGGTGGCCTGGGAGCTCCGGCCAGCAGCTCTGCAGTGGTGCCACCATCCTGGCTCCAGCTGGACACCTCAAACACCGTGGAGCGAGCTGGGCTGGAAAAACACCCCGGAGGAAAGTCAAAGATAAAAGTGTTTGTGTTCCAAACGTGGAAATGGCACAGGGACAGAGAAACACCTTCCCAGCCCCAAATGTCAGCAGCGTGCTGGGGTCACCCCTGAATTCTCTCCTCTCCTGGAAAGGAGACCCCCTCAGGAGAGAGGAGCTGTAGGTGTGTGCAGGCAGGATGAGGTTGGGTAATTTATCAGGGTTCATCTGCATAGACCTCTGTGACCTCTGAATTCCCACTGCTTTGGCTGGTAATTAATGCCTGGCATGTTAATTCCCTGAGCACAGGCCAGCTCTCAGTCCCCACGCCTGATCCACCCAGCCAGTCCGGGCCTTTCCAGCAGGTAACGGTGCAAGGCTGGACCTGATGATCCTGGAGGCCTTTATGATTTTAGAATTCTGTGATTCTACAACATTTCTGCACGGATTAAAGTGGAGCTTTCACCACAGGCTCCACAGACCCCTCCCTGCTCTCAGGTGGAGGGACCAGTTCCAAGGGGAGACTTCCAAAAGTGGCCAGGAAAATCCCTTACTGCCTGACTCTCTGCTTTTAACCTCACCTTAGCTTCTCCCCCTCTGCTTTTAGGATGGCTACATAGATTTTATGGAATATGTGGCAGCTCTGAGCCTGGTGCTGAAGGGGAAGGTGGATCAGAAGCTGAGGTGGTATTTCAAGCTCTACGACGTGGATGGGAACGGCTGCATCGACAGGGCTGAGCTGCTGAACATCATCAAAGTGAGTGGGCTCAGCTCCTCCACTGCTGACACAGATGGGCACTGGGAGAGGGAGACAGGGAGCCTGGAGCAGGAACTTCCAGCCCAGTGAACCCCGTGGGCAGCAGCCACTGCCCAAAGCTGCTGCCCAAAGCTGCTGCCCAAAGCTGCTGCCCAAAGCCACTGCCCAAAGCCACTGCCCAAAGCCACTGCCCAAAGCCACTGCCCAAAGCTGCTGCCCAAAGCTGCTGCCCAAAGCTGCTGTCCTGGTCCAGCTCCCGGCCGGAGCTGCCTCCCACACCCCTCGGACACCCTTGTCCTCCTGGCAGCTTGTTTAACCCTCTTCACTGAAACTGGGGCTGAGATAAGCACTTGAATTTAATCTCAGGGTTTTCAGAGGTGAATGGCTTCTGGCTTACCCCAGCATGCCCACTAAATCTTGTAAAGCATTCATTGCCTGTTTAGGTGATTTTAATTTCCAGTATTTTAGGCAGGACTTACTCCTTTCAAAGCCTGACTGCCTGAAAACAAGTTCTGGCCCTGAAAATGAGCTTGGCCTTTCATGTCTGGTCACTTGGCCACTTGCTGTGATGGACACAGACTGCAGAGCACTCGGTGATTTTCTGTGCCCCTCGTTCCCTCCAGGCCATTCGATCCATCAACCGCTGTAACGAGAAGATGACGGCGGAGGAGTTCACAGACATGGTGTTCAACAAAATCGACATCAATGGAGATGGTGAGGCCCTTCCTCGGGCACTGCCCTGCTCCTGCCTCGCCCCTCTCCTGCAGCCCAGGCTGCCAGAGCAGCTCCTGCGCTGGATGTGCCGCACACCAGGCAGGGAGGGCTGGCTCAGGGTGGCTCCTGTGAAGGTTGAGCTCCCCATCCCCTCCGGGCTGCCAGGGTGGGATCTGTGGGGGCTTTGGGCACAGTGCAGAGCTCAGGGCTCAGCACAGCTCTGTGTGTGTGCCCTGCAGGGGAGCTGTCCCTGGAGGAGTTCATGGAGGGCGTGCAGAAGGACGAGATGCTGCTGGACATCCTGACCCGCAGCCTGGACCTGACACACATCGTGAGGCTGATCCAGAACGACGGCAAGAACCCACACGAGGCGGGGCAGGACGCCCAGGCTGCCCAGTAGCTGGCAGGACGCTGTCCCTGTGCTCCCCTGGCAGCTGGGCTGGACGGGCAGCGCTGAGAGGAGAGGTCTCTGCCAGGAGAGGGTCCCACACTGACCCTGGATGGCCTCTGGATGATGCTGAGCTCGGGGAGGGGACAGCCACTGCTGCCCGGGCAGGGGGAGCAGCTCGAGGCTCTGCAGGTGAAGAACCCTCCGAGAACACCCCAAAATTCCCACCGAGGCCGTGGCTGACACCCCTCAGTGGGGTCCAGGACTTGGCCCGGATGAGAGGGGTCCTGGAAAAGCAGCTCCAAAGCTTCTCCTTCCTTTTGTAATTCCAGAGCAAGGAATCAGCGGTTCTGGTCCCTCCTTCCCCCATTCGTTATTATTTGGTCAGCAGTGATTAGTGATAACAAAGCCTTTATGAGCTAGAGAAAGGGGAGGGGTGAACGCAGTGGCTTTTCTTTGTCTAAAAGCATTAAAAACATCGAATGGTGCCTTTCTTTACCAACCCCCCGGACTGTAAGGAAACGTTTCTCCCTGAGGCATCTGGAAGGAAGGAAGCGCTTCCAGATAAGCAGAATCAGCAGTGCAGAAACCGAGAGGGAGATGATGATTCCTGCACGTTTCACCACCTGGGAAAGGAGCAGTGGGAGGCTTTGACCCCCACGTCTGTGAGGGGTTTGGGGGGCAGCTGCTACAGAGGGCTGAGACTCAGAGCCCCCCTGGGTGCCCGAGGATTCCTGCTGGGTGCCCCCGCTGGGGTCGGGGCTGGGGCCGGGGTTCAGCCCCGCAGCCCCTGGAGCCCCTGGATGCTCCTGAGCCCTGAGCCCCAGGCGTGGTGAGGCAGCACAGCACACCAGCGAGGATCTCTTGCCCAGCTGAGGGTTCTGTTATTTAGCACTGGGTGTTTGCAATTCACAAACAGCTTCCTGGCCGTTTTTCCTGTGTGTCTTTTTCACTGACTGAGTTTTACCTGGAAGCTTTTCTACTTCCAGTCCTACGGTGAACTAATAAAGATGTTTTACAATATAATTTCTGGTCGTGCCTCTTCTCTCTTCCAGTGCATCCCTCTGTTTCCAGCAGGACAGATTCAGTGGCTCACACAAGTACAGGAGCAGCTGCTCTGGGGCTGTTCTCGGGCTCACAAGGCACAGGACAGGACAGGACAGGACAGGACAGGACAGGACAGGACAGGACAGGAGCCCTCCATGGGCACTGCAAACCCCATTACAGGTGGGCTGAGCTGTTCACTCAGAGTGGAACTCTCCTTCTCGCAGCAAAACCAAACTCCCCAGCACAAAACTCAGAGCCCTTTGGCTCTGCAGCAGCACGAGGAGGGAGCTGAGCTCAGCGTGGGCTTTGTGAGCATCCCCTGGGCAGGGGCAGTGCCCGAGCTCCCCTCTGCACCCAGGAGCTGCAGGGAGCAGCTGCCACCGGCCACGTTTCTATTTATAAAGCCAGATATTCTGCAAGGGCTGTCCCTGTCCCCATCCCTGCCCCATCCACCTTCCATCCTGCTCCCTCTCTCTGTTCCCATCCCGATTTTTGGGATCTCTCTGTTCCCATCCCGATTTTTGGGGTCTCTGTTCCCATCCCGATTTTTGGGGTCTCTGTTCCCATCCCGATTTTTGGGGTCTCTCTGTTCCCATCCCGATTTTTGGGGTCTCTGTTCCCATCCCGATTTTTGGGGTCTCTGTTCCCATCCCGATTTTTGGGGTCTCTGTTCCCATCCCGCTGTTCCCGCCGTGTCCGCCCGTCCCGCAGCGCCCCCTGCCGGCCTGGACCGGAGCGGCCCCGGGACCCCAAACCCGGGGAATCACCCCAAACCCGGGGGGAATCACCCCAAACCCGGGGGGAATCACCCCAAAACCGGGGGGAATCACCCCAAACCCGGAGGAATCACCCCAAACCCGGGGAATCACCCCAAACCCGGGGAATCACCCCAAACCCGGGGGAATCACCCCAAACCCGGGGGAATCACCCCAAACCTGCAGGAATCACCCCAAACCCGGGGGAATCTCCCCAATCCTGGAGGAATCACCCCAAACCCGGGGAATCACCCCAATCCCAGAGGAATCACCCCAAACCCGGGGAATCTCCCCCAGCAGCCCCAGGCCCGGAGCCGCTCTCCAGGCGCTTCCAAGGCTCCTTCCCGCAGGTTTCTCCTGCTCTGCCCCAGCGCTCCCCGGCGCCCTGAGCATCCTCCAGTGCAGGAGCTTTAAAGGTGACACTTTGTGAGATCCTGGGGTGCACTGAGCTCTGAACAAAAGAATAAAGAGAGGGAAGAAGGGAGGAAAGGAAAAGGAAGAGAGAGAAAGGGAAGGAAATGGAGGAAGGGCAGGCAGGAAGGTGGGAAGGAAAGAATGAAGGAGAATAAAGGAGGAAAGGAAGGAAAGGGAGGAAAGAAAGGAAAGGAATTTTGCACAGCTGAGCACAAGCGCCGTGAAAAGCACTGAGAGCACAGGCAGTGCCTGCAGTGCCCAGCACGGGGCTGAGGAGGTCACTCTGCCTTTCCACAGGACATTTTCCAAGGGAACCTGGCCCCAGGTGCTTCGGGAATGACCTGGACACAAACCCTACCCCTGCCCAAAGCTCAGCTGCTCACAGGGCAGGGCTGGGCACAGAGCTGGGTGCAGGATCCTCTCTCCTCCCCCATCCCTGCTGCTCAGAGATTCCTCCAGGGATGCATTTCCTGCGGTATTTTAGGATGTGGCGCCTCCTTGGCTCCTGTTCCCTCTTCCCTTCAACAACAGCTCCAGCTCCAGCCTTCCAACCTGATTATTCCCCCTTTGGTCCTGCCCAGCCGCAGGGGCATCAAACCCGGAGCAGATGGTAGCCCAGAAAAGTCAGGTGGCATTTGCCTTTTCCTGTTTCCCACTTTAGAGCAGAAAGAAATCCGATCAGTCAAATCCAATTCCAGCTGGGCCCTAAGTCTGGAAAACGGATTATGCAGAATGCCTGACATCAACAGCCTGATGTGAGTGTTGAATGGAGTTTGGGAGGAGATCAGGGTATTTATACCCAGGGCTTTAAAACAGCACCTGAGATTTCTTGGCCAAAGATTACACAATTGATAAGAGGAACAATTTTCCATTGGGTGCTGCCAGCTCTGACACAAACACATCCCCTGCACCTCCATCTGCCCAGGCCCCAGCACAGGGCACCATCCTGAGCCCCCCTGGCTGCAGAACTCAGCTCACTTTATTTTCAGCACCAGTTCCATTGAGAAACATCGTGTTTTTAATTATACTCTCATGGTTTTTGCTGTCATCACAAGGAAGTTGAACAGAAGAGGCTCCTTCATCGTCACCTCTGCCTTATCTCTGCCTTACCCAGCTGCTCCATCAGCTCCTCCCCTAAACTCAACAGATCACACTCACAGGCTACAGTTTCAGTCAGACACTCAGCTGCTTACACAGATCTTCCCCTAATTAACAAATAAATACTATGAAACAAAGGTTTTTAATAAATATTTCTTTATTCAATTCGTGGTTTACAAAACTTCCAGCAACAGCTGTAGCAGTGCTCAGCAGGCCTGGGGGTCCCAAACAGCCCCTGCAGAGCCTGGGCTGGCCAGGACAGCAGAGCTGCAGGATCTGAACCAGCAAAATGCAATTCTGGCAACTAAAACAGCCTCCCTCAAACCCTGCAAGGAGCAGGGGGTGTTACCTCGGCTGAGGTGCTGAAATGCAAGGAATTCTTAGAGATTTGTATCCTCCAGTGGAAACATTTTTTCACAGGTTGGAAAATCAATAAAAGTGAATGTTTTCTTAGAGGCTCTCAAGTCAGAAGTCAGATTTTTCTTTCAGATCTTGGGCTGATAAACTATTGACTAAGAGAGAGCTGTGAGCAGCTGCCTGAGAGCAGCAGAAAGCACAAGTCTAATCAGCTCTGATAAGTCAGCACACCACAAACTGCTCGGTATTTACAGAGAACTCATAGAAAAGCTATTTCAAAGTGGAAATGTGCACGAGCTGAACTCTAGCACTGATTGTGTCTAATCCTGAACACTTCCCCGTGGAATTTAAACACTGGGTAAACTGACAAGACCACAAACCAGCAAACTAATCAGCTAATGACACTTACTACAGTCCTAATTAAAGGCCACAAAAAGGGGTTGTAAATCTTTTCATTGGTATGACCTGGCCCACTGATCCCATGGGAAAAATTAAACGGAGCAAACAAACTTTTATTATTTTCCTGGGGAGCTTTTTTCTTGTAAATGAACCAGTAAATCCAATAAAAGAGAACCAAAATTTTGATTCAACCCAAATTCTTTTCCCACATACATCTATGTAGAAACATGGGTTAGAACAGCAGAGCTCAGCCTGCAACTTGTGTAAATTTTATATCTCTAGTCTGGGGCTAAATTAAGTCCAGTGTAAAACCACTGTACTGGAATTTTTGTCACTTTTTCCACATTTCAAGGCCAGTTTGGGCAGGGCTTGATGTGACATCCCTGTCTGGGGCAGGGGGATTGGAAATGGAGGAGTTTTAAAGCTCCTCCCAAACCCAAACCATCAATGATTAAAGGTTCTGTGTTCCTGCCACTGGAGCAGCACAGATCCCCTCACTGCAGACTCTGCTCTCCCCTCGTCTCTGCTCACACGTTTTTCCCAGAGCAGTGAAATCCTGGCGCTCCCTGAGCTCAGCCACCCTTCCAGAGCAGGGGAAGCTGCTGCAGGGTGGTGACTCCGTGAGAACAGGGAAGATTCCAGGATTGCAGAACTGGAAGGGATTCGAGCAGTGCTGTTCTGCCCCCTGAGCTGTGAAGTGGCAGCATCCCCCTGAGCCTCTGGGCAGGCACAAGGAGCAGGCTCTGGTCCCCAGGAGGGAGAGGATGGAGCTGCTGCTCCTCCTGCCCAGCCCTCACATCGCTTCCCTCAGCTCTGTGTGTTGTCCTGGCCACTTCTCCGACCCAATTCTCGTTTTTGGTGCCGGCAGGAATCCGGCACGAGCAGCAGCAGAGGCTACAAACCACACACAGAGAGCCCTGAAGATCCAGCAGCAGCTCCTGGGCTGCTCTGGGTGCTGGCAGAGCAGGAATGAGCTGGGCCAGCAGCACCAGCCCCACTCCTCACTCCCCATCCGCCACCAGCCCCCAGCCCTGCTCGGCTCTGCTGCAGGAAGCCACAGAAAGTTTATTTCTTGGGGTGTAACCGAAAAGCAGAGCTGGCAAACCCAGTGCTGTGTACACAGGATTATTCATGGGCCAGAAACAGTCCCTGGGTACCAGCAGTGCTCGGCACGCTTTACAAACGGCTCCTGAAAGCACTGGAGATGCTGAGATGGAATTAAAAGGAAAGAATTAAAAGGCTAGAGGGAGGGTCAGGCATCACCATTTCAGCCGTGCCAAAGCCGCATTTCCTCAGAACAAAGCACTCTTTCTCCTCTGCTCCGTGATCCATCCCCCGGGGTTCACATCCATTTGCAGCATCTTCATCACCCACTTGTCCTTCCTGGCTCCATCAATGAACTCGTCAAGGGACAGCTGCCCTGTGGGGGAGAGGGGCACACAGGGACACTCAGCACCCCGAGATAACACAGGAGGAGGCAGGAACAATCCCAGTTTTATCTGGGTCAGATAAAACGCTAATCACACACGATCTGAGGCACTCAGCTCTTGGGGACCTGGCAGAGGATGGCATCTGGGTGGCACCAAAACCCGGCCCCAGCAGCGACTCCTCGGTATTTTACATTAAAATAAGAACGGAGATTTCCCCCTGCTCCACCAAGACACTTCAGACTCTGTGGAACAAGAAGCTGTGCACTGCGAGCACCACAGGAGTGATCCAAGGCAGGCAGCCCAGCCCAGGGGAGCTCTCAGCAGGCAGGAATGCAGCCACCCATCACTCACCATCCCCGTTCTCATCCACCAGCTGGAATATCCTGTCCACCACCTCCTCCGGTGTCAGCAGCGGGGTCCTGTCCTCCACGTCCGACCAGCACACCTTCTTCAGCCTGTAGATAGACTGCAAGGAGCTCACAGATTAGGACAGGGACTGCAACAGGGAAAGCAGTGAACTCTGTTATCATCCCATCACTGTGGAGGTCTTCCTCAAAGGCTGGGGGTTTAACCTTTCTGGAAAGATCTGTCCCTCAGCAGCCTCAGAGCTGGGCAGAACCCGTTGTGCCTACACTGGCTGCACATTAATTACCTTTGCTCTGTGAGCTGCTGCCCTCCTGCTCTCCTCACACAAACTGCTCAGACCTCAGGGCTCCTTTTGCAAAGAACAAAGCGAGAATTTCACAGATGGCAGAAGTCCTAAGCCTGGAGTTGGATTTTTTGCTGCCATCCAAAGCCAGGCTGGCCTGGGCTCTCTGTGAGGCTGTGGTGGGGCTGCAGATCCAACCTGGCTTAGCAAACCTCCTGAGCCACAGTGTCTGCTCCCCTTCGCCACGGGAAAGGGTCAGACTTCATTCCCCCCGTCCATTGCCACCTTCAGTGCCCCAGAGAGAGGATTAGCAGTGGCCTCGCCGTTCTGGGCAATTCCTGGCTGACCTCAGAGCTTCAATGGAGCGTGGCCCAGACAGGCTGGCCTGTCCTGCTGTCACAGCTGCTGCAGGGACCAGCTGCTCTCCCCCAGGGGCAGCTCCTGGTGCTCTCTCCCCTGGGATGCTCACGGGGGGACGGGCAGTGCCCCCGAGCTCTGCTGGCCAGGGGAGCAGAGCCAGCGAGGTATCTCACCCTGGGGAGAGCACAGGTGCTGGTGCCTGGCTTGTGCTCAGCCCCTCAGCATCCCCCAGCTTGGAACAGCCCTTCAGGATCATCCAGCCCAACTGTTCCCCCAGCCCTGCCCAGGCCACCCCTGACCCCTGTCCCCAGGTGTCACACCTTTGATATCACACCTTTGATATCACACCTTTGATATCACATCTTTGATATCACACCTTTTATATCACATCTTTGATATCACACCTTTGATATCACATCTTTGATATCACACCTTTGATATCACATCTTTGATATCACACCTTTTATATCACATCTTTGATATCACACCTTTGATATCACACCTTTGATATCACATCTTTGATATCACATCTTTGATATCACACCTTTTATATCACACCTTTTATATCACATCTCTGATATCACATCTTTCACATCACACCTTTTATATCACACCTTTTATATCACATCTTTTTTATAAAAGTCACAGCTTTTATATCCCTGCAGGGCTGCTGGTCCCGGTGTCAGGGCTGGACAACACTTTCAGTCAAGACATTTTTCCTGATAATCATCCAAACCTGCCCTGGTGCTACTCGAGGTGCTGTCCCTTGTTGTGTCCCCTGGCAGAGAGCAGCTCCCACCTCGCCCTGCTCTAAAATCATGGCTTTTAGCTTTTAGCTTTTAGTTTTTTTGTGGCTAAAAGCAAGGGCAGGACTCAGCAGAGCCCCAGACAGGCACCAGTACCAAGGTGGGTGCAAACTGGTACCTCATTCTCACCGAGCCAGGGCAGGGGTGGAATCCTCCCCCCCAGGGCAGCACTCGGTGAGGAGGGGCTGGAAGGAAAGGCAGAGCAGAGCCCTGGGACCCCAGCACACACCCACAGTGACTCCCAGCCCTCTGCCAAGGCAGGCATTCTCACTTCATCACCATCCACAGCCTTGAAACCCGATTATCACAAACCCCATCCACCTCACAGCATTGCCAAAGAGCAGGGATTGCTCAAAAAGGGGATTGGGCAATGCCCACTTACCTCAACAATTTCCAGCAGCTCAGGTTTATCTATGCAGCCGTTCCCATCCTTGTCATACACTTTGAACGTCCACCTCAGCTTGTGTTCCAGCTTTCCTCGTAAAACAAGATTCAAGGCAGCCACGTACTCCAGAAAATCGATGGTGTTATCCTGTGGCAAGAGAGGAGCAGCAGCTGGCTGTCACTGGGCTGGCTGGGACAGTGATAAAAAGTGTTTTACAGCTTCCAGAAAGCCTGGCTCAGCCTGCCAGGAGGAGCATGCACGGGACAGGGATTTGTTTGGAGCTTTAGGGAGGGTTTGCAGCAGGTCAGGAGCAGCAGCAGGCACAGGCACACCCCAGAGCAGCCAGCCTGGGCTCCTCCTCCCCACCCTGCCATGCACCAGCATCCCCTAATTCAGATTCCCTGTCCTGGGGGGAAAACTCCTGTAAAAGAGGAATGGGACTTCTTCTTTAATGCACAGTTTGCTCTGCTACCTTTTCTCCACAGCTTTCATAACAGAATTTGGAACCTGAAGCTTTCATTTTTTGCAGGAATTTGGGTTTTTATGACTTGGAATTCTGAGACAAGCCTGACTTGTCAACATTTTCCATGACCTTTTAAAATCCTTTCCCACAAAGTGACTTTTGCTGCCACTTCAATGTGATTTTGTCCCTATTTTCAAAGGGATCTTAAGGGAGATGAGTTGATCAGAGATGAACAACCTGAGTCCCCTTTTCCTGTGTTGATAGAAGGAACAAACATGCCCACAGCTGGAATATGATGCAGAGCTTCAGGAAAAGTCTGATGGAGCCATTTGGCAAACGCTGCTGAGGCTGCTGAGCTGGGCAGGGTGTGCAGGAGCTGTCCCTGAACCAGAACCCAGTGTCCCCAGGAGTCCCATGACAAATAATGGCAAAGGGAATCAAAAGCAGAATGTCTGAATTGTTCAGCATTCCTTTGTTTTGGAAGCAAAGCTAAATTCAATGTTTTATTACAAAGCACCTGCTGGTACTCGATACAGACACTTCCTCCAACACAGAACAAGCCTGAGGGGGATTTTCCTGCACTCTCATTTCTCTCCACCTCAACAGAGAAATACTTTTTAATAAATATATAAACAGAAAATATATTTTATAATACTAATATATTATTAATATGTGGGAGCCTTGGCTTTAAGTGTGACTGCCTAAGTTTCAACATTTTATCCACCCTTGGTCCCTTAAGGGGACATTCTGACCTTAATTTAGGAGGAGATTTGAGATAAATCCAGGCTGGCCTGTGCTCCCTGTCCTGCCCCCAGTCCATGAGGGGTGGGCACAGCACAAACACCTCCCCACTGCACAAGACAGATTGAGAAATCCCCACACAAATAACAGCAAAACCTCCTCAGCACTTACCCCGTTCTTGTCAAAAGCCCTGAACATGTTCTCCACATACTCTGCTGCCTCCTGGTTGTCCTGGACCCCGAAGAACCGCTTGAACTCGTGCATGAAGAGGGTCCCACTGGGACATTCCACCACAAATTTCTTATACCATTCCTGCAGCTCTGCAACATCAATCTCTCCTTGCTCCCCTTCAGCATTGGTGAACTGCTGGCCCATTTTCCTCAGGATTAAAAGCAGAAGGAAAAGAAGAAAAAAAGCCCTGCCAAAGTCCTTTGTTGTTTCTCTCCTCGCTGTCCCGTGCCCTTCTCTGATGTTGGTGCTGTGTCTTGCTGTGCCACCTTTCCCTTTTTGTGCTTTATTCTCCCGTTCCTCTCCCCTTCCCTGCTCCCGGAGCTCCGTGAGTGCTTCCACTCTCAGAGTGGCTCCTCTGCCCCGAGCACGGATAAAAATAACTAAAGATCATTAGGAGATTCCCACCCATGAGCCCCAGAGACCTTCAGATGTTCTGAGCTGTGCCCTATTTAGGAGCAAAGTCCCGGGGCTCAGGGTCTTTCTACACATTAATGCCTCGCTGTCAAAGAATTTGGGAGCAGAGTTTCCCTTTACACACAACTCCCAGCCCCATTCTCTGTCCTGGGAGTTTTCCAGGGGAAAAAAGGGATTCCAGGGAAGGAATATTCATCTTTGCAATGCTGGCTCTGCAATGCCTGTGGGGGCTGCTCAGTGCTTCACAGGAAAGAACTACAGAGAGGGAATCCTGAGGAAACAAACACTTCCATGAAAAAAGCTGCTGATGGATTGAATTCACTGAATGCCTCCTGAAGGCTGGGAGACAGTGAAGGCACCTAGGTGCACACATTCCTCTTATTGGCACATCTCCATCTTCTAGTTAAAAAGAGCAGGAATTGTTTATTTCTGTATTTTTAGAGCATATTCTCCTTATTCCCTTTCCCTCTTTGTGTCCATGGAAATTCTCCTGCTTACCCCTTCCCCCTGAATCTCATTTATTGCTTTGATTGCAGGCACAAAGTGCAGCTCTTCCCTGGGCTCTTCCTTTCTGTGCAGCACGGCTCAGCCTCTCAGCACACCCAGAGCCCTTTCCCGTTCCTGGGGAGCCCTTTCCAGCTTTCCTGCACCCCAAACCACTTGTTCTGAACCCAACCATTACCAGTTCAGTGGAAAGAATGACCTGAGCTATAAATGTGCCCAAGCCAGCCCAATATCTTCATTAAGAGGATTGGAGCAGCATTAATAGGAAACCATAGATTCTCTTATCCTAATGCCAAGGCCCAGATAGATTTAAGCTGCTCACTTTTTTGGAACTTTTCTTGGTGTTGGTTAGATAAGAAGAGCCTCTCTGATGGAAGAATACTGGCTAAGAACCAGGCTGAAATTTGAATTTGATATTGCAGAACAGTAGAGGAATTCATGCTGTGCTGTAAGAGTGGGATTTGTTCTGAATCCACTCACACCTGCAGGTAACCCAGCAGTGGTACTGTGTGTCTGTATATCTATCTATATATATCTATATCTATCTATATCTATTTATATATATTTTTATATATTTATTTTTATTTATTTTAATTATTTTATATTATATATTTATTTATTTTATTTCTACACAGAGATTTGCAGGAGTATAATACAGCCTTACACTTTGACATGGAAGGATACTCAGGCAAGGTCTGGTTTCATTTAAAAGAAGAGCAAAGAGAGGACAGAGACAACACAGCCTGGAGATGGATGGGCAGGGCCAGAGAAGTTGCCACAGAATTGAAGGCTGTTCTATTTCAGTTAAAGCATTTTTTAATAATGATATTCTTGTCTATCCTCGTGCCTTGAAGAATGTAACAAAATAATGAACTCAGCCCTTCCTTCTGGGAGCGCTTCAGCCCCTGACTCGGAGTTGTCTCATCACAGCAGAGCAGCTCCAGGGCTGCCCAGCAGAAAAGCACCAGTAAATCCACCCTCCCCATTTTCCTCTTCACTACAGCTCCTGGGACAAAGCCTTTGGTAGCCACACTCATGTTTATCAATTATTTTATATCATTTTTGGAATTATCTTGGCTGGTGAGGCCAGGAGCTCTCCCTGGGTCACAAAGAGCCCCAGGGCCCAGCGGTGCTGCCTGGCCGGGGTGGGAAAGGATTCATTCCTTGTTTGGGAGTTTGGGAGTTTGGGATGTGCTGGGCTGAAGCCTCTCCACCATTCTGTGCTGCTCTCCTGCACGGAGCACTCACTGGAATGTGAGTGCTGGGAGCACTCAGCAAGACTCCACATGCCCAGGACATTGTCTTGACTCATTGCATAATTTTGTTTTGCCTTATGGGAACTTGGTGATCTGTTCCCAGGAGAGAAAATGGTTCCTTTTTGTTTGATGACTGCAATCTTCTCCAGCTGGGAACAAAGGGCTGTCAGAGACCTGGAGCACAAAGCCCAGCTGCTGCTGCTGCTGCAGGTATCGTGCCACACAGTCGTGTTGATAAAACAGTGATGTGAATTTGGCACTGAAATAAAGTAAATCCCAAAGCTCCTGGTATGAAAATTCCTCTGCACATCCTCTGTGTGCTCTGCAGACTGCACTGAAAGAGCTGCTGTCCCTCAGCCAGAGGGATGCCACTTCAGAAGGGACACCTCAGCAGCCAAAAGATCTCTTCATTTGATTCCAAAAAAATGATGCAGCTGGAGGTAAATACAGGCAGAGAGAAGTAAAACTAAAGGAATAGTTTCTAGGAACTGCTGCAGTGCAGAGCTTGGTGCTGTTTGTCAGCCTGAAGGAGCAGGATCAGTGCTCTGTGTGTCACAGTGAACACTTTGGATGATCAGTTATGGACAGGTAACATCTGATTGCACAAATGAGTTATCCCTGGATTATCACCTCCCCAGCTCCAAAGAGCTGCATTTTCCCAGCCAAGAGCATGGAAAAAGACTCTTTATTTCCCGTCAGCTGCCTACCCCAACGTGCTGCCACATGCTCCAGCACAGGCTGGTAGAAACTCAAGAGGGAAAAAAAAAACCACCAAACGCTGCAGAGGGCTGGGAAGAGTCATTTGTTTGGCATCGGTGCTGGGAAGGCAGCAGAGGCACAGCCAGAGGGGACCTGCAGGGACACTGCAGGCACCACTGACCCTTCTCACGCTGGAGATCCCAAGCTGGAGCAGTTCTCACCCAGCTGCTCTGCCACTTTGCTCCGCTTTTAAATCCCCCCAGCCCTGAGCTGCCCCAGGACCCCTCCTGCGGGTTGGGCATCTCGAGGGGACCCGGGGAGGGCACAGCCCCGGCCAGGAGCGTGAGCTGCACCGCTGCTGTCTCCTGCCACAGCTCCCCAGCATCCCAGCACAAACAGAGCCAGCCCAAAGCAGCCCTGGATTTCCCTGTGGGCAGCAGGAATGCAGGGAGGATGAACCGTGGCTTTTGTGCTGACCCATCTGAGGACAGATCAAAGATCCTTCAGAGCCTGGCCTGGAGTTCAGCCCAATATCTCCCTGCGTCTCTTCCTGGTTGTTCCCAGAACTGTCCTAGCTCCTCATGCTTTTACAGAGCAGGGATAACACGGGTGTTTTACCCCAGGAGCAGCTGTCCCCTGATTTACACACCAGGAATGGTGAGGTACCACTGATGAAACCCATCTCACCCAGCTCAGAGAGCGCTGACCCAGAGTGCCACATCCTGACTCCTGCTTATTGCCAGAAAGGGTTTCTTGTGTGCTGACAAACTCCTGCATGTTCCCTCTGAGTGAAATTTCATGCTGAATGAAGCCTGAAATATTTACCTTGCACTTGACATCCAGCAAGGCAAACTTCCCTAGAAAAATGGTGAATTGTTTTGTCTCTGTGTGAAGATCTCCAAGATTTTTGTCTAGTTCCAAACTCTTGCGTTGGGACTGAGCTGTGTGTAAGTCAGCCTTCCCAAAACCAGGGCTCAGCATTTTCCACAGTGTGAAGGAGAAGGGAAATTCCCATTTTTTTCCTGGTTCATTGAAACTGAATGGTGAAGTATTGTATGATCCTTGAAACCAAGATTCACCACTGAGTCACGCTTCTCCACCTACGAGGAAAATAAATAAGGCACGAGGCTGGAGGGCAGGAGACTGTGGAGGGACCTGGGAGAAGCTGCTGAGCCCCTTCCCAGGGGTAGGTGTGACCCCAGAGCGGGGATGGAGGCAGGGAAAAGCGACTTTTTTATGCTTTTCAGAGAAAAAAAGCTGTGTGCTGTGGCCAGGGTTGACTTCAGGGTTTGGCTTCATCCTGTGCTGTCATTGACTGAGTAAGGATTTATGGATGGACATAAGAGCAAGTGTGCTTAGGCTGTGCCAGGGGAGGTTTGGGTTGGATATTTTGGATAATTTTTTCACTGAAAGGATGGACAAGCACTGGAACAGGCTGCCTGGGGAAGTGGCAGTGCCACTGGCCCTGGAAGCGCTCAGAACCCTGCGGATGTGGAGCCGAGGGACACGGTTTGGTGCTGGACATGGCTGTGCTGGGTTAATGTTTGGACTTAGAGGTCTTTTCCAGCCTTAATTATGCTGTGATTCTATGACTCAGCTGAATATGCTTTGAACTGCGAAAAAGGCCAGGAACTTAATGTTTTCCTCCCAAAATATTCCATTAAAAAGGCAATGAATCCTTTAAATCCTTTTTATTCCATTAAAAAGGCATGAAAAGATATCCCGCTTAAAAGCAAACTTCCTAAATGCTCCATTTACCGGGGCTGGGGCGGGGGGGAGGATCCCGTTTAGAAGCTTCTTAAATATTCCATTTATCAGGAAAAGGGCCGCGGCAGAACGGGGGGGATGTGGGGTGCTCCGCTCGGCCCGGGGGTGTGCGGG